GTGGCTTCTGGTAGCTTTTGCTAGCTTCTGTTGGCTTTTGCTGGCTTTTGTTGGCTTCTGGTGGCTTCTGGTAGCTTTTGCTAGCTTCTGGTGGCTATTTTGTCTGGCACGAAAGGATACCTGGAGACATCCCCTGTTGCTTGTGACGGAAGTCTTGGACGAAACGCTCGTTTTGGAGGAGTCCTATGTCACTTCTGGGGTCTCGCACGGAGAAACAACTATCATTTTGGAGACACGAGCCTGAGGGAAGGCGCCCACAACAGGACCAGAAAAAAATCCAAAAAAAAACGGAAAAAATTCCTTTAAACAAAACGCGGCCCTCCATATACCCTATCCAGTCCACATACCTTCTCAGAATGTATTTGGGCCCTCAGAAGGTATTTTTGTGTTTTCCTCTCTAGCTGATATGAATTAGACATGCTGTGCTCAACTGAGGACCTCTCACTTTCAGGTGGTCGAGGAAGAAGACTTCGCTCAAATTTCCACGGTTTCTTCGAAGAGACCGGTGGCTTTCCTTGGGGCGACGAAGAACAAGATTGATTCCTTGTTCGTGCATGCTGACTACATGGGACAGGGCACCTCGAGAGCAAGTCAGACTTAGGTTTTTACAATCCATGTCCGAAACTATTGTATGAATTATACATACATATATAACATATATAATATATATAATATATATAATATAATATATATATATAAGTGTCTACATTATAGGTCAATCACAATCTCTTAGAGTTGCTGTGTTTCTTTGTGTTTTTCTCACCTCTTTAGTAAATGCCATAATGATCCGTAACGTATCAAAACAGAAATTGCAGCCTGAAAGATGATTTTGCACCAACTATGTTTGGTATATATAAGTAGTCCAATGTGTGGTTTGAGCCTCTTCTTCTCCTTTTCGTGATCGATTTGCCGAGTCAGGCATTGGAAAGGCACTTTTGTGGCAGACCATCGTGAGCTTATTCGATGAGTTTGGGGAAGTCTATGTGGATGTGAATGAGCAGAATGAGCAGGCTCATCGCTTTTATCTAAGCCAAGGCTTCAAACAGGTGGGTCGGAGCGAGCTAGATGACGACGGTCGGCCATACCCGATACTGAATTTGTGCTTGAAGAAGGAAGAGACGGCCCAAAGATGTTCGAAGTGATTGCTTCTCTTCAGGTTTTACCTCCTCAGAACTGAGAGGCTCACAACCTTTTTTGGACAACCCAAAATCATCAGACAACCACCACTGCGTCTCTGAAGAGGGTGGCTATCTGTGGCACTTGGCGTTGAAAGAACCTCAGAGACGGTGCCTCCCTACGAGACGTTGCCATGTACAGTTGTACAGTCAACCCGAAGCTGCGGATTGGAGAAAAAAAACACCCGGAATCAGTTTGTAAGGCTTGGTTGCAATTTGCTTTGCTCACCCCAAATTCAACTACTACAAAGATGACTGCGGGAGCGCCGGGAACTTCTCGCCACATTGGGAACTTGAAAACCCAACATGGAACTGCAGGTGCTGTCATGTGCCATCCACGTCCACCATGATTCCAAGGAGTGTATGACGTTGCGTCCCAATTGAGTTTTTACATTGAAGGATCCTGCAGAACATCTTGCTTCTGGACCTGGACCTCACAGTCAGCCCAACTCACTCGAACACTTCTGAAAGAACAATGGGCACCTCTATGCACCTCTAGAGATTTCCAAGTTCTTTTAAGTGGACGGGTGTTTTGCTCATCATGCGGGCCTCATTCTGATTGAGCGTGTGATAGCCATTTAATTATAAGTGTGGGTCGAACAATGGTCGTACAGTACATACATGTTCAATGTCAAAAGGTACATGGCCAAAACATAGCATGCTCACGCCAAGGAATACCTTGCTTGTCAACATGTTTTGCTGTGAATGAATCGAGGTTTTTTTCAAGGTCGTAGATTCATCCAGTGCCCTCACTGGACCAGATCAAGCACGGTGACTCCGAGACTCCTGGTGGATTCTTGAATTCTTGTCCGGATGGAATCCATCTTTCCTTCACCTCCGGACCGAAATCCCAGGAGATTTGCATCGTTTTGGAGATGCCACGTGCCGCTTTCATCGCGGCTCTGGAGGATCATCCGGAGGCGGAATCCGGGTTTCACACCCGCGTCAACGACCCGAGGCGTCAACGCCCGGCTTGGTCGGTCCGTCGGTTTCGGCACCTCCCAAAGAGTCCATCGCGGTGCCTCCGAAGTGGCGGTCGGTTGGTCGGTGGGTCGGATTGTTGGTTTTCAGTGAGGTATCTTGAACGACCGGGAGGACGAGGAAGGGCGACCGGGGATGTTGTTGGAGAGGCTTTTGGGTTAAGGTTTGGGGGTGACATGACTTTTGCAGAAGACCCATCCAGCAAGCTTGTGCGACTTGTTTTAAGCATTAGGAAAGAAGAAGAAGAAGCCAAGGGGAGAATTTGTGACGCAATCATGCTACTCAGTCACTTAGTCAGGCAAAACACACTCTTCTCACTGTGGATTTCCTCCTGAGTCTCTCTCTCTCTCTCTCTCTTTCTCTGTTTGAGCATGGGTGTGCAATTGAATAGGGAGACCTTCCAGTTCAGCCTTCTCTTTGTTGGACCCCTTCCACTTCGCCAGGAACAAGAGCACTTCCAGAAGATTGGGCGCCAACACGGCGTGGTGGTCGCCAGTGCGCCGCGTCCGTGTCGTCCGGTGTTTGATGTCCGGCTCATCCTTCCCGTGAAGGACGAAATCAACTTGCTGGTCCGGTCAATCGCTGGGTCGGGATCTCGCCCTGGTTGGTGGTGAATAGGGTTTTTTCTATCATGGTTGCGTTCTGCACACCTAGGAGTTCTGTGTCGATGCCGAACTGGGGGTCCTTCATTGGACTTCTTCCGCCATGCCAAAGCGGGAGATGGTGGAAGAAGTCCTTTTCCTCCAATTCCCGGTGGGATTTTAGGAGCAAATCAGATCTTGTTGTTTGTTTGGTGTCTGTGTGTGTTGGGGGGAATCGCATCAGGTGTTCAAGTTAAAAACCCTGTGTCAAGTGAGGAAGCACGACTACTATATACAGATCCCAAAAAATAAGACTGCAGAAAGATGCTGTAACTTCTTTGACCCATTTGCTGATACTTCTCCCAGGCTCTGACTCAGTTGGAAAGAGGAAGAGCCAAGGTTTAGCATCCGCGTTCGATGCGAAAATTGGAAGAGGTTTCTGTGTTCATTGTTTTGCAACTCCTGAGAAACTACTATCTTTTCGACGCGCCATTTTTCCACGGAACATTTTGGGGTGAAAATCCCTTGTCTTGACTATCCTGTGCGTGGTTGGGAAGTGAATCACAATGAATCACCATTTTTTTGAGCTGAATCTTTGACTCCAACACACTCCAACCCGACCCCGACGGCCCGGCTTGCATGGCAGGTACTCAGTGGCCACTTTTTGAGGGTGCTTCCCAGAAACTTCTCTCCCTCATCAACCTCTATGCCAGGACTGCTGTTAAACGCAGTTCAGGATGTTCAGGGGACTATATACCAGGTGTAGAAAGTAGGTGGGTTGCAGCATTTCTTCAGGGATTGCGTTGCTCTTTCATGAGCGATCGCACGAATGTTGCCTTTCGCCGTTGCGCCCCATCCTCGCATGTTCCTGTACTAAGTCCAGTGGACGAAGTCTAGGAATTTCCTGTACTTCGGTGGTGCCAAATATAGTCGAACTGGACTTCTAGGCTTTAGGGTATGGATCAAGCCAACAGACAAGGAAGGCCTGATTTGTTTAGAACTGCTTACATTTGTTGTTGTTGAACAAGACTTCTAGGGTGTTTCGGCTTACCAGAGATTCGAACATCAAGCTTGGGATTAGTTAACCCCAGCCGCTGTCCCCAACCAACCTTCGGGCGGCGGCAGAAGCCCGAGAAAAGCTGGAGCTAGCTGGGCGGCGGTTTCACCCTGATTCGCCGGCTTCGTCAGAGCTTGATTGGCTGATCGATGCAGGGCTGGGATGATTCTTGATGTACGCCCACGCACGCGCGGACGCATGCACGCGCAGAGGGCAAGGAAATGCGCTAACTGCAGATCGGACCGGTGGGATACTTCAATATGGCTGTGATTGATACCGTATACCGACCGGTTCCCTGGCAAGTCGTTTGCTACACGGTGGACCCAGGCTTCAGGTGGGTCGCGACCTCAAAACCCCACCGCCTCATCCGATCGACGGTTGAACGACCACAAATCCAACACCAGATTCACATGCACTTCGCTCCACCAAGCGCCTGGCTTTTCTCTCATGGGGTATATGCTATGGTATGCTCAAACAATGCCCGGACGAAGTCCGGGACGCACGCGCGCACACACACATACGGATCCGGGAAGGCGTGTGTGGGTGGGGATTTCGCACATGAAGTTGGGTGGGTCGTATGGTCATACTGAGAAGTTGCGCAAGGATGCCTCGCATACAAAACTCTGTGGCGGTTGCAGGATCAAGTGTTTGTTGCTTCTCTAGAGACGGTGGAAGCATGGGACGGGCACCACCAAAGCACCGTAAATACCGTGGTTTTCGCATGTTCCATGGAACGGGAGAGTCCGCGGGAAGCAGGAAGGATTCGGTCCGAGAACCTGACTCCCCGCGGGCAGGAAGCATATCACCGCGAAAGGCCACTGGTCCACCTTCAACGGAGAACAGCACCGGCCTCGGCGGGTCGAAAGGGGATTCACAATGGGTTCACCAAACCACGCGGTGCGTGGCCTACGATTGATTTAAAGGCCCGAATCCCGAAGAATCACTTGTAAAACCAGGATGTTACACTGCAAAACCAGGTCTTTTGTATTCTTACAAATTCTTATGTACAATGGTCTTTGAAGGCTAGGGATGTGGGTGTGTCCTGGAACATGGAGACCCTCCAACTGCCTCCAACCAAGGTTTTTTTTTGTTGATATTTCTTCGGATTTGTTGGAATTTAACTGGAGTGCCTGGGCGCTTTCGTGGTCGACCTGGTTGTGTAGTGTAGTGTAAAACCCGTCGTAAAAGCAATTAAAGGGAGTTGACAAGTTCCTTTTCAAAGTTCAGTGGTGGATCGCTGTCCTAGATTTGTGGGATGATTTGGTGGTGTGAATTTAATGGACATGGCAGAACTCACGAACATGACTCACACACACACACACAAAAAAAGAAACTAGCAAAAGCTGAACACTATAAGTGATTTCGCAGATGGCCCAGTAGATGACAAGCTGCCGAGTGTTGGTTTCGGATCTGTTCCAACCTTTACTGGACCTGGAAACCCAATCCCAACCAACAGTTCTGGAATGTTCTGGATGTTTCTTCAGTTCCAGCCGCTTCCCATATGTAAAGGATCTGAACAAATTGCCATAATGATATTCCCCTGGAAGTCCAATGGCTAGGTCTCTAAATTTAGGTCACCCAAAAATTTGTGTCCGCTACTGCGGTGGTGCAATATACCCAGACACGACCTGTCTGGGACTGCCATAGGACTGCCGATTCAATTGGGGTGGTTGGTTGGGGGTCTTTCTGAGGCGGCGGCCCGCAGTCTCAGACAGGTCGTGTCTGGGATCACGTACAGTCTTGGGACTTCCGGAAGAACATGGAAGAACCACATCCCAAACACTCCACGTATGCAATACATGTCCACATTGGGGTGGTTTTGGGGGTCAATGTAGGCATATATGGCAGTCCCAGACAGGTCGTGTCTGGGATATGCACTTCTTTCCTCGGAAGTGCCCCGACCCCCACCGACCGAGGCTTCCGGAACACGCGGCGATCCTGGTGCTGCGCGGCGAGTGGCTTGGACGGACTGTGCACGGGCACCACGGAGGGCACACGATCAGTCAACGAGGCGGATGACGTCAACAGCAGTTTACACAGCGAACGTGAAGAACAGGGGGTCATTGATGATTGTGTTACTGTTGCATCCTAGATGTAAGGGATGGAAAGAGTTGTGAGCAATTAATTTAGACTCTGAGCTTAATATATGCTTATAGTTTTCATGGATTGAACAAGAAAGATAGAAGAGACGCATAACGACACTAATAAATCTACAACATCAAACCTCCATGAATTCCTTTGACCAAGCTTGATGCCACACACTTAAGACTCAGACACACATCAAGCTCCTTCAATAGGCTCTTTTTGAGGCTCCGAAAGCCACGACATGCTCTCGACTGGCTGAGGATCCGAATGGTGACGCCCGACAAAGGAGAGTTGGTCTTCACCGAGGGCACCTGCTTCAACGAGCCCTTCGGCGAGCGCAGAGAAGCCTTTGCCGCGTCCGCGCGACCCGTGCTCCGCGCGGAACGCGCGGGGGCCGATCAGTGTTGGCCAATCCGATCCACAAAGCGACATTCGTGGCGAGACAAGGCGAAACGTGGCCATTTCAATGGTTGGGCCACGAATCCTGGGGCGTTCGGGAATTGTTTGGGGCGAAGGGCCGTGAACGAAACGAACAGAGGGATTCTTGAAGTAGAACACCTGCAAGCTCCTTTTCAGCTGGGATCGCCACTTCATGGAGCTGACTTGGTGACTTGTGAGATGTTTCGCCCGGCAGTTCGAGCAGCACCCGCTTTAAGCAAGTAAGAAGCAAGTTGGAGATGGAAACAGGACACAAAACGAGCTTTGTCAACTTTTCTTGCAAACCTTACCTGACGATCACGATTATCACGATTGCGACAATTCTACCAGGTGCTGCAGATTGGGTAGCGGTCAATGGCACCCAAATTGAGCGAAGACAACTTCTTGTTCTTGTGTACCAAACCCCGAGCATGGCCAGCTCAGTTTGCCAGTTGGTGCAGGACTAGGCCAGGTCAAATGAAGTAAATTCAGATGCTTCCACCCTTCCTGCCTAGGCAGCTGCTCTTTGGCTTGCCACCGTTGGATGGGCGCTTGCATCCTCAGGGCAATTGCGAGGTTCAGATCATGTGGCCTGGCGAGAATATCCTCCTGCCCTGCCCAGTCCTCCACTACAGAATGGGCTGCAAAAACTCCCACCACCGGAATGAGAAGAGGGATTATTGAATGATATTGAGACTATAAAGTAGATGGACTACATATTGAAGTTTTTCCTCAGGAACACAACATCTTGGGTGTGAAACCTAATCGGCTGCAAGCTGAAAAGACATGAAAAGACATGCACTTGGAAAAGACATGGAACTTTCACCTCCTACTCAAAACAAGTGGGTCTCTTGAATCTTTTGAATGTCACGCCCCATATTCAGGTTTTCTTTGCACAGCCGAGAGTCTCAGCTAGCTTCTAGCTTGCTACATCACCTGTATTATGGAGTCTGTTGACTCTCACCCTGTCAGCTTCCGCCCCCCTCAGCTTCCGCCCCCCTGTGACCCCTTTGGACCTCCATTGTCACCCTGTCAGCTTCCCTTCGGCCGAACCAACTCCACTCAACCCCTTTCGGCCGAAACCCCCGAGGACGGCGGACATCTTCGACCGGGTCGTCGCGGAGCGGCGTCGGCGTCGACACGACCTGGGCGGTGGTGGTGGTGGTTTTTTCACGACGCGCGGGACGACGCGGCGAGTGCGCGGCGCGTACCGGTCCGACTGGTCCGCGATCGGTCCGCGATCCGGGAATCCGCTGGGACGTGTGGAGGATGGACGCAGCAGGACTCCAAGGATGGATGCGTACTTGAGGCAGATGGAAGGGGCCCAGTCAGACGTACTTGATTTTTTCATATTTTTTCAAGAATGAGGGGATTTGCACTGGGCACCTGAAATTTAATTAGATGTTTGTTGACTAGCAGTCGTAGTGAAGAAGACCATTAGATTTGGATTGTAGTATCCTTGTCGGCCTTGATCCTGGAACTTCGGGAATGCTCGTACGCACCGCGAATGTCAAACATGGTCAAGCATCTGGCACGTACACAGTAAGGGGGGGAGTCGGCACGTACAGTGCTGTCCGCGAAGTCACATATAGGGCAGAGCTCTGGATGCGTTTGTCTCTCCCTAGGGATCCAGTAACTACCTTCTCCGAACCTCAGGTTCGGTACGACTGGACCCTCTTGGCACCTACATAACAGTGTCGAACGCATCACCTTCCGAGGTTCGGTACGTGGATTCCCAGGGTCGGTACGTGGCTTCCCCGAGAACGGAGGGGCGAGAGGTCGGTGGTTTGGCGCTGATGGTGTTGGGCCCCACGCTGGGGATGAGCAAGGCGTTTGGACCCACCCAGTCAGGTGGTCGCAGAAGAAAGGAAGAAACCATCCCACCACATGGGATTGAAAACATGAACTATCATGAACTATTGGCAGTATAACATCGATCTATATAGATGACATTCATTTTTGTTGGGGGACGGCATTTCTTCTTCGAACACTGCTCTGCCTTCCGCCCTCTTCCGCCCTGACCCGTCCATGGAACCCCCGGCAGGAGTGTCCTCATGAAAGGGACTTCATCATGCAACGCATCGTGAACGAGATCGCGCGCAAGGCCGAGCAACACATGGGCTTTGGACGAGGCTGGAGCGGAGCGGTTCGGAGCACATAGGCTTCGCGCGAAAACGCCGCGCGGAGCGGGCGATGTGGGTTGATCTGCCACGTTGGACTGGGCGTTAGGAGGGGTGAGGAGGGGGCGAGGACGCCATGGCGTTTGGTGTTTGCTGCTTTCTTGCGGTTGTTTGTTTGTTTGCTTGTTTGTTTGTTTGTTTGTTTGTTGTGTTTGTGGTGAAATTCTGCTTATGGTCCCGGGTGCATGGACTGTTCACCATGTGTCACCTGGACAATCCGACAATCCGTGCACCCATGAGGACCATGAATTGCACCCAAATCTGTGGTCCAGCGATGAATGTCTTTCTTCGAGACAGACGAATCAGGATCATCCCTGGCGATTGCAGAAAGGTGCTGCAGCTTTCCTCACGGTTTCAGAAGTGGGTGACAGAATGGCCGGAACGCATGAAGCAATCTTTAAGTTCACTCCCTCCAATATAGACCCAATTGCTTTGCCCGCGGAGCGAGTTCGAGAATTCCGTGGACCTGCAGCTCTGCAGAGCAGACACCTGCACCAACAGTGCCAATGAAACAGGGTTCTGCTGCCTCATCAGACTTGGGCAACTCAGACATATACCCAGACACTCCATGTATGCCATATATGCCTACATTGACCCCTCAAACCACCCCAATGTATGCATATATGGCATACATGGAGTGTCTGGGATATGTGTTCAGACAAAACCAGGGACGTTAAGGTTCACATTGAATAAAATCCGACAGTGCCCTGCGGGCCCGGCCTTGCCTCCAAATCCAGGTTCACAAGGAAGAGGACTGAATTGCTGGAACACCTACTCCAGGAACTATACCTCTACCTCCTGCCACTGATCCACATGACCAAGCACCAGCACAGCTGTCCCTGCTACAGGAGGACTAGTCATGCTGCCCCACATGGACCTGGCTGGACACCTGACAAGCAGGTCCGCCTGTCATGGTGGACGTCCAAGCACCTGTCATGAGCTTGAATCCTGGCCACGTCAGCCCTTGACGATTCCTGGATGGCCGAATGTCTGCAGTTTTCATGAAGAGCGTTTTTTGGTACCGAAGCACACCGGTGATCTGCTCGCGGTGCGCTTCAGAAGGCTTTCCTTCATGGTACTTGCTTCGGTGTTTGCCGTACATTGCATGTTGCACGTGGCATGGCAGACATGGCAGACATGGCATATAGGTTCTGGCGGCGAGAAGTGACTCCTTTCGTGGTGTTGTATTGTTTGGTTGATTGCTTATGTTTGCTTAGTTATTATACATTTGAAACAAGGCAAAACCACCCTGAGGACTTGATGCTGTAGCAGGACCTTCATATCTGAACGCCACGGCTTCCGTTCTACAAAGGTCCAGCTTTGGAAGGTCCACGAGCGGTTCGGTTTCAAGAGGGCCCCGTTCGTAGCGCCCTTGCTCCGTTCGTAGCGCTGCCAGGGGCCCCTAGTACTGTAGTAGCTTCTTGCCAACCAAGTGAAGGTTCAGGGGATGCAGGACAAAACTCGGACACCGCGCCATGTTGGCCAACCAAATCCACGTTTTTGCCATGTTCTCGCAATATCTCCAATTTGCGAACTTGTGTGGTCCCAGACTGCGAAGGCAAATCTCAGATCTCAAAGTTTATTTTTTTTAAAGGGGAAGCTCAAAGGTTCCTTATGAATCAAGTTCTGCCAAATGATCCCAAAGGCTCCATGATGATTCCTTATGATCCAGGAACTCTGAGAATCTGAGTGATCCAAAATGATTCTGCCACTCGTGGCTCCAATATGTCTGAACTCCTCCGTTGGTCTCTCCCACTGGTTGGTCGCTCCTTAGATTCTGCAGAGTGACTTGAATGAATTCCCCGCCGACCTGATCCAGGTGATCCCGGCGGCGCCCTCGTGCTGAGCACCGTGATCCAGGCGGCTTGGGGCGTCGTTCGTGCGCCGAACCGAGCGCCACCGGTCGCAAGCAAATCAGAGGTGAAGTGACCCGGAAACGCCTGGGGTACCCAACTGGGATACTCGAACTATAGGGTTCTGACCCACCTTGGTTGGAACAGGCTGGATTGATGTGTGTGGAGATCACGTGACGAAGATCAGCTCAAGATTACTCCTGTTCGGGGCATTTGTAGCTCAATGAAAAAGGTCCCAGGGTGACATGCATCCCATATGAATCAATTTCTACACCTGGCTGGAGACTTCAACAATTTTTTCCCTATCAATCATTTCACCTCTCGAACGAAGACTTGAACGAGTTTTTCCTGTAACATTCTCTCTCAACTGACAGGACTCTTCGTACCTTGAATCTCTCCGGCACCTTCTTCGTACTGCTTCGCCCCATTGAAACACCGCCACGCCGTGTGTGCCGCGACCATCCAACCGTCGCCATGCACGCGCTCGCGCGTTCGGCGCCGCAGGTGGCCGCGGACGACTTCGCGGACCAACTGCGGCGGCGCATCGACGCGCGGATCTACGAGCCGGGCGCGGTGATCACGGCGCCTCGGACGGGTCCGACGAGGTGGGGACGACTCGGTGGGGACAACGGGGTCAACGGTGGGGAAAATGCGAATGATCTCTTTTGAGGGAGTAATGGTGGGATGCGTGTACATTGTTTGGGTGAAGTATGGTGAAATGAATTGAAATGATATGTTTTTGGGATTCGGATGAGTGTGCACTTTTAGCAGATCGTCATGCGGGTGTGGTTCTTCAAGAACAAGGATAGAGAACTTGAGTTTGTGGGTGGGGTTGGGGTTTAGCTGATGTCGGAGCCATCGCCTTTCGGCTTCACCAAGCACTTCGTTGGATTTGGGGCTCCCCCACTGCAACGCTCCAGTTCGTTGCAGTGGGCAAAGTTTGGTCTTTCGCAAATCAGGAGTGAGTCACCTAGCCCATAGGCGTGGGATTCATTTGGATTCGTAGATCTATGATCCTATGTGTTTGTTTATTCTGTGTTTTCTTGCGACTGATGGACGAGGGCATGGATATGATGAATCAACCTGAACGAGTTTCGGATCGCTCCACGAAAAAAAAAAGAAAAACAGGCATCCAGGCATCAAGCCGCAAGAGTGACCCCCTGGATCCCGCCCTGGATCCCGCCGTGGGAGGATGGGTGGCATGGTGACTTCACTCAATCAGGCATGATCAATAACCATCCATTTGAGCTCTCACATAGCGGAGAGGAGTATCTATATACCAGCTGCTTCCGTTTGGGGTCACCTGGCTGGATATCTCCACAATTCTCCACACTACTTACAGGTCTCCTTGGAAGCACTATAGGTATATATATTGTAGCATATTGTAGCACTCCCCAGCTGCGAAAGCCAAGGAAGCTGGACAGGAGGGCAACTGCATGCAGCTTGTCTCCGAGTCATGCGAAGCTTTCGTTTGGGCATGCGAAGCTTGTGCGGACCAACAAGCTTGTGGGGATAAGAGTGAGATTTTGTTGGGGAAGGTTGCTTCGTTTTGCTTCCTGGGGTGTTTGTCCGTGTTGGATAGGGCACCATATTCGGCCAGGGAGAGAAGTCGCTCTTTCCTACCTTTCCTTGGTCAGGGCACAAAGTGGGTTTGACCTTGGACGTGTTGAGAGGGCCTTGGTCGTCCTACTACCAAGCAATTTTTGCAGATCAAAACTCGATGAACACCAGTGGACCAATAATTACAGCCAGGAATAATATCCTTCAAGGTCCCTATACTAGCCAACCTTGCACATGTGTGACTCTTCTCAAAAAAGGCCTGGGGTACCAATGAAAGAGTAGTTTTCCAGTACCACATGAGAACGACCTTTCATGAGCTCAGAAGCTCCTCCCTATGGATCCACATACCGAACCCAATCCGGTACAGTGGAGATACGTACAGGTGCCAGGGTCGAGTCCAGTCATACCTTTTTCCTGTTGTACGGTGGATCGGTGGATCCCCATAGGACCGCATAGGACCCTTTGTTAGGCTTTAAAGACATCCGTAGACCACTTGTTGCGTCTCAAGTCAACCAGAGTCTTCTCCCAATCTGGTGCCAATCCGGTGCCAATCCGCATTGGAGCAAGAACTTGGCCGCCGACAACTCATGCGTTCTGACATGTTCTGACGCAGAATCAACCAGAAATAGGGTGGATGAGTGGATGAGACCTTTGAGCCGCAGAGTCTGCAATTTAGCGATAGACACGCCATGGATGGTATACGTTGACCCATTTTTCAATCACCGAGATGATGTGAATATGCCAGACCCATGAAGTGTTTGGGATTTCTTGCACGCAGTAAGAGTTCAGAAGCAAACACTCACTATTTAATACTATTTATATAGTTGATTTTTGCTATCTGTTGGAGTAGTGCGGGGGAAATGGTGGTTGGGCAACCACTGTATCTTTCTATCGGCCGAAGACATCAACAAGACATACAAGACATTGACCTCAGAACCTTAAAAAATCCTGACAATGTAATTACTCTCCGACTCACTAAACATGGAAGTGGATGGAATGGTCCCTTGAAAGACAACTTTTCTTTATGAACAGGGGATTTTTGCACTTCCATATGTCGTGAGTCTCTTGATCAACAACCTCCTCCAATTGAATTGAAACACCTCCTCTTCGTATGCGGTTAATCAAGAGGAATCACGTTCTGGGTATCCTGCATAGAGGATCACCGTAGGTTTTCCTGCCGGATTCCAGGTTCGTGCTGGTGGATGGAGAAGCGGAGAACGAAGGTGATGGCTTGTGCCATGGTACCTCGGCACGCGTGTTTAACGCAGAAGCTATTCAGCTATGAGTCATTTCGGTGGTGAGTCGAATTACCTAAGAACTTAGGGAAGAGGCTGGTGAAGCTCTATCACTTTGGGCCATTGGCCTGTTTTGAGCCCGGTGTGGCAGAGCTTTCGCTTCTGAGGCAAAGCACTGCCATTGAAGGTGGGCAGCGTCTTTGGTGTTCCTTGGCAAGTCGATCTGGTCGGTCTTGGGTCCCCAATGCCGATTGGTGGGACCCGACCATTTTCCTCCACATGCTCTGCCCTTGGTGTCCAAAGAATCGCCGTGTTTGGGGTTGTTATTAGGTTGGAGGCCATCGCTATAGTAGCTCTTTTGGTGTGGAATCGGAGTGTTTTTGGGGTTGCTTTCTTCAGGTGATGCTCCAAGCCCTCACCAGTGTGGGTCAGTCAAGGAATGAGACAGAAACCTCCGTGAACCTCTGTGAACCTCGTGTTTTCTTTGGTCGATCCTCAGGGTATGTGATGGCGTTCACACAGTTGAGTTGATGTTTGATGCCCCACTGTGTGCTGAGTTCGTTTTGTGTCACTTGGGGAAAAGAGACATCACCTGAACTTGCTACCCCTGCTGGATGAGCTTGACTTCCGGAAGTCTGGTCGAGCTTTGACCCTGAAAGCGTGTTCTTGTATTACAATAAGAACCCACCACCTGGGAGTACAGAGCAACGAGACCTGTGTGGCAGTACCCACGAGACGCAAGTCGTGTCCTTTTGTGGAGATCAAACGGAACACACGTAGCCTCCAAAAGACAGAACACATTAACAAACAACTCTGAGCCAGACCAAGAAGGACTCTCTATTTTGTGGTTTGAAGCGTTTTGCACGGTTGACCCTATGTTTGAAACGGAACTGTGCCAAGGATAGCAGTTCTCGAGTTCTCTTCAGAAACAGAAGGACATGTTCTTGGCCACAGAAACAGCGTCCAGTTGACTGGTCCAAGGACATATGAAACCCATCGAATACAACATATCTCAGATATCTCAAAGGAGGCAACACCATGATAGACCATACAAGTAACTAGTATATAAATTGTCTTCCATATTTGAAACTACACCAACCACTCAACACCTGTGGTTAGGGTCTTATGCTGGTGTATGTCCTGTCTTCTTCCGGGAGCACCTTCGGCAGCTCCTCCCGCCGTTGTTTGGTGGAAAAGACCGTCAATAACTGAGTGTTTTGGTGTATGAACACAAATGAACATATGGAGACCTTCAGCTCCACTGGAAGTCAGAAAAAT